GTCAATATGAAACTTTTCTGTGTCAATATCAACATGTAGCTATGTAAATATCAAACTATTACTATGTCAATATCAAAACAATGTTATTTAAATATCAGAATGTTACGATGTCGATATCAGAAAGATGCTCTTTAAATACCAAAACGATGATATGCCAATAAACACATGTTGCTTAGTCAATATCAAAACGATACTGTGTGAATATCAATTTGTTGCTATTTAAATAACAAAACAATGATATGTCAATATCAGCATGTTAGTATTTAAATAACAAAACAATGCTATGCCAATATTAGCATGTTAGTATTTAAATAACAAAACAATGCTATGTCAATATCAGCATGTTAGTATTTAAATAACAAAACAATGCTATGGCACTTGGTGTCAGTGTTCATTTTGTGAATATCTATAAAGCTCAACTCTATTCCGATGTGTCTGGGTATTTGGTAAGTGAAGGTGTTCAGGGTTACATCCAATGTCGTGATAAAATTGTAGTGAAGGTGTTTAGGGTTACATCCAATGTCGTGATAAAATTGTTTGATTTTTGATGTTTATCAGTTTAGATCATCTTATTTTTATTAAGTTTAGCAACAATTTTTTGTTTAGTTGTTATTATTAATTTTCTGTGTATGTAATTTAAGTAATTAACCTTAACTATTTTTATTACTATCCAGATTTGTAACGACATTTTCATGAGATGTATTGAATCACTGATGTATTTTTATTTATAACCCCCCCCCCCTCTATGAGGGTAGGATTAATAAAGAAAAAAATCATATTTTATTTCATATAAAAAAATTATATTTTCTTAGTCTATGGAAATTATAACATCAGATAATTAAACTCAATTTTTGACCAGTTGTTCATTATTGCTTATAAACTATATAAAACTTTACATATTTAGCTGGAATGAACATAATCTGTATGGAAACTACTCCAATAAAATTGTAACTATGATGTTTATAGTACATGAAGTTTTGTTAAGTGTGTATGATAGTATATTGAGCTATGACAAAACAGTAGTTTTATATAAGAACACTGAACACCAAAAATCCTTGAAATAATCACTTGATCTATAATTAAAGGACCTTATGTGAATTTGGAAAACAGATAAGTTTAAGTATAAAGAAATAGTTTGTAGAAACGAAAGCATTACTTAGTTAAAACAAACACGAGGTCCATCTTATCTTGTAATATGTGAAGACTTCCTAAAATGGACCTTTTCCTAATGCATATACAAGTAATATAATGTAGTCTCGCTAACAACAAGAACAATAACATTTGTAAACAACAATGTATGGACCTTTTCCTAATGCATATACAAGTAATATAATGTAGTCTCGCTAACAACAAGAACAATAACATTTGTAAACAACAATGTATGGACCTTTTCCTAATGCATATACAAGTAA